ATAAATTAAGATATCCGTTAACATTGTTAAATTATATATAAATCATCAAAGAAAGGTAAATACATTGTTCGAATAATGAACATAATTATGGTACATTGTGTACGGTGTAGTATAGCTCTAAACGAATGTCGTCCTATAAATATAAGTTAATAAATACATTGTGTAATAAATTTCTCCGAGGATATTCGAACCTGCGACCTCTCGCTGTCAAGGCGAGCGCCATAACCATTAGACCACAGATGCATTACTTGCACTGCTCTGACTATTTTATATAGATTCAAAGCATGATTTTTATTGTCCATTCTTAATGTTTTATTCTTTATCGTCTCTGTTCATTAAAATTCATTGTAATTTTAATGTTAAATGTATAAAAGGAATGACATATATATATACATATATATGCATATATATATATATATATATCACAATCACTTCACTAATACTTTAATGTTAACAATTTTTGCCATCGAACCTACTTAAAATTGATTATACGATCAATTTGATTTTGGTTAAATTTTCTGTGATATTAATAGGTTAATTAAATCGGTGTAAAAATCGTTACGGTACCGTACTGTGTTAAATGTATCTAAAGAGAATTAACTGTGTCGTAGTTTCAATCGGTAATGGAGCTACTCTCATCGTGGGTGTTATTAAATATTATAATAACTCTTAATTATTACTATTATTATAATTACTGTATTTGTTATCGTGATATAATATATTTAATATTACATAATTATTATTACCGTTATCACAATCGTCGTCATATGATGGTAATATTTGTATTGCTATTATCATAATTCTCATCATCAAAACAATCATTATCATATTTTAAATTCATATTATTATTATTATTATTATTATTATTATTTATATAATAATAATAATTATTATTATTATTATTATTATTATTATTATTATTGTTGTTGTTATTAATATTATTACTATTATCATCATTATCATAGTTATTATTATTATTATTATTATTATTATTATTATTATTATTATTAACATAATAAATCGACTAGTGTATCGAAGTATATAATATGATATTTTATATCGGCAAATCAAAGATTATGTTTGAGTCGATCAATTCCTCTTTCCTTTTTACAATATTCACTGCTTAGATCTAAACTTCATGTAACACTCATCTAAAGGCCTAAGTATGTTGGTATACCATAAATAGGCCTCGTCACATGGAATGACCATTTTATTACTATTATTGCTAAGGCAAATCAAACGCGATGTTAGGATTGGCAAGATGATGGAAGAACTTCCACCAAAGTAATTCTATCGTGTTATCAATAATTAGTCCAGTTCTGGAATATAGACTTCCTGCTTGGCGAACTAAATTTGAAAATGTCGATTCATTGATTACCAGGATCGTTTACAAATAACAACAACCGTTGACGCAAGGAAAAAGGGAATACAATCCTATTTACAATCAAATGCATGTTGGGAGTTATTAACTGCGACTCCGTGGCCAATTTACATATCATTATCAAAACCACCAGGCAGTGGCGACGCCAGGATTTCCCCGATGGGAGGGCTGATGTCCCCGACGAGAAAAAAGTGGGCGTGGTCGGACGTCGCTAAAAACCTTTCGAAAGTGGTCAAGGGGACGTAGCCCCCACCCCCCAAAATATGACAATTAAGGGGTTTCATAGGCTTATTTAATCGATTTTAGAGTCTATTAATATGTACAAAATACATATAGGCCTAATTTTTTTGAATTTTTTTTCTCCCCGACGAATTGTGGTTTTTCTCCAAAACGGAGGGTGGGGAAGCCTTTGCGACGGGAGGGGGACTGTAGCCCTGCCTAGACCCCACCCCCGTAACGCCGCCACTGCCACCACGTTGATACAGCTGATTTCAAGCACCACTACTCAGAACTCTGGTCCGAAAGCATTTCATTTTATTTCATATATTACTTCCAGGCAATATAAAATACAGTATGACGAAGACACAAGCTGAGGATAACCTAAAGTAAACTGAATGAAAGATAGGTAAATACAGTGTTTGAATAAAATAGATGAATAAAGAAATTGTGTAATAAAATGCTTCTGACGAGATTGGAACCTGCGACCTCTCGCTCTCAAGGCGAGCGTCATCACCGTTAGACCACAGAAGGTTTATGGTTATGGCTAGTCGTGGTTATTGAAACTTAAAAAAAATTTACTGACGCGAACAGAACAATCATCTGCACTATTTTAAATATTAAATAGTGTATAAAATAGTCAAACAACTTTAAAGAATCAAACAATAACGTGCGTGTCGACATTACAATTGCTTTAGAAGTATGTAATTTTCTAGAGCATAGCAAAGTAATTTTCTAGAGCAAAGTACCATGATACGGAAATGTTAATTATTTTTTGTGTATATATTTTCAAAAGTAATTTTCTGGAGCATAGCACCATGGTACAGACTATCTTTACTGAATGAAGAAAATAACATTGAAGTAATTCAAAAGATATGAAGCAGTTCATGTCTTGTTTTGAAAAAAAAACTGATCTTCTTGCAGTGAGGCCATTCATGATGTATGTCAAAACATTAAAATATTTTTATTTGCGAAATTTTCGGCAACTCCTGTTACCTTCGTCAGCGCTTAAGTTTCTATGAGAAGCTTTACAGACTGTACATGTCTATACAATAGGTGACTAAGCTCAAGGACTAAAAACAATAGAGGACATGGTCTTATTTCCAGCATTAGTTTATTAGGGAGGCCCTAAGGCTGACAGAGCAAATTGGCATAAATCAATGGCTGGTCAGTGTGACATAACAATTGTGAATGGTAAATAGCAATAGGCCATTAAAAATAAAAATCAAATGTGCAATAGCCAGTAAATTATATGAATGGAGATAATAATGATGATGATGATGATGATAATAATAATAATAATAATAATAATAATAATAATAATAATAATAATAATAATAATAATAATAATAATAATAATAATAATGATAATGATGATGATGAGGATGAGGATGAGGATGATGATGATGATGATGATGATGATGATGGTGATGATGATGATGAGGATGATGAAGATGATGATGATGATGACGATGATGATGATGATGAAATTGAAACATTATGAATATGTATAATGCGTCTATAAGTCGAAGATAGGATTGGATTGGATTGATCAAGTTAATGTAATAGAAATGGGAAATCAACACAATCCAACCTTTTAGCTTTCATAATAAGGTAAAACTAAGCCCAGTCGGACATCATTCCGGTATTTGTGAATCTAGGTGGCAGGATTAAGTCTTAAAATAATGATAAAATACACATAAATGAGAAGATAAATATTAACCTTATCTACGGTACTTAACTAAAGGTAAAACTATTCTTCCTCGGACATCATCTCATGTATGTTTTTTGAGCCTGATGTTTCGGAATTGTCGAAAAAAGTGAATAAAAGAAACACAATGATGAGAAAGAAAGACACCTATGTATTTAAACTAGTAGTAACAATATCCCCAGCCGGACACAACCCCTGTTTCTTAGTCTATGTTTCGAGGAAGACTTTCAATGAAAGAAGATACACAAATCATAAAACACACAAACGATATTTATATGTACTTGAATTAACCCCACTTTGAAGTTGTCATTTAAATGTAGCCTAGCCTACTAATTATTTCTATACTTTTAATAATTGTGATAGATTATTCCACATTTTAACACCTTGGTATGAGTTCCACTGTTGGCCTATTTAGTTCTCTTAGAAATTGCATATAGCCGGTAAATATTTCGGATATCACGATACGTTGACGTATGATACGTTTCAACATTTTGAAATTACAGTGCACCCTCCAAATCGAGACCACCTGATTTCGAGAGCCCTCTAATTCAAGGCCACTTTCTCAAAGAAACAATAACAATCGTCAAACTTTTAACACAAGCTAACCCTCTAAGCAGGGAACAGTGTAACTTAACTGACTGTTCCCTGCTCTAACCCTCTAAGCGGAGACTGAACCTCGAGACCACCCGTAACTTTCATATCTTAAAGTGGTCTCGAATTGTAGGGCACACAGTAGTGTCAGTTAACTTACATAATAAGATTTTTTTTTGTGAAATTGAAACATCCGATTGCAAATAAATATCAAATAGGCCTATATTAAGAGTTCGTGTTTATACAAAACTGGGGTGAAGACGGATTTTGAAGGTGGACATACAATACATTCATTCGCCAATATGAAAGTTGATATTGGACCTTTCCGCTAAGCCATGCCTCTTGGATACAGTCAGCAGACTGAAAGCGGAGATGGATTCGTTACACAGTGCGTGCCCGTCTAATAGGCAGTTTTCGCCGCACGACGGTAACCTTAACGTTAACGGATGACGTCATAATTTACTCATCTTGCGTTGCGGAGTACGTTAATTTCAGGATTTTACGTGCTCGACGTACGTTAGTTGCGGGTTTGCGCATGCGTATTTCGATTTGTTTACAAAGGGGGCGGATTTATCCCTCTGCATGTTGGGTACTAACGTTAAAGTTAAGGTTAACGTTGTGCGGCGAAAACTACCTAATGTTCAGACAAAACGTAGTTACGCTGGCGTAACGTTAACCGAGTGGTGTAAACTTGTGCAAGAGGAGTAGGCGAACGTCAGTATTAACGCGCAATCATTGACATACGATAATCTACCAACAGACACCATATTAGCGTACGCCACGGAGTTGCGACAGTCATGAATCAATGATTTTAAACCCGGCCAGGATTTGAACAATCACAATAAGCCTGGTAAACAGGAAATCCAATGAGCGATTATGAATTGCGAAATAGTTACGTTAGCGTTACGTTATTTGCCCAGTCTAGACATCTCGCTAGCAACGATTAAAGTACGTCTGGTGTTAGTATCTCTCAGCTAGGTCTGAACGTAGCCTAAACAGCTCTCAGAAAACAACAGTGGCCCTGTTCTGATCATTTTGTTAATTTTGATATTGACACCATGGAAAGGTCCATTACTAACTCATTTTAATAATGTCCAGTGAATAAATAAGATCAGAATATACAAATAATAGAATTGCCTATAACTTGATTTTGTCTGTCGAAGTAAAGGTGGCGATGCACCGTTTACAGCTTGTTGAAATTGACAGTCGGGGTGATTCGGTTCGTCCGCGCAAAGAACATGTAGAATCGCTCTGTGATTTAAAAAAGATAATGGATGTGATAAATGGTAAATAAGTGATCATGGTACAGTGTACATGAATATAATTTTACAGGCCTAATTATATACAAATTATCAGTCAAAATACAGGAAAATACCTCGAAAAAAATTGAATAGCTCATTTAAAAGAATCAAATAAACTATTAGCTTCCACCAAGAACAAAAAAACAAAACAAAACTGCGAAATCATACCGTAAAACTTACAATAGAAACTCAATGCTCAAGTAACTCGTGCTTTAATAGTAGCCCACCATAAAAAATAATAGGCCTATATAATAATGATCCACTTCTCTAAAAAGAAACCCAGATTTACCATCTGTCTCTTATACACATCTAGATGTGTATAAGAGACAGGGATTATATAAGCTAGCTTACTGTGGTTGCTCGTAACAGGCATGTGGTATTTGAAGCCCATCCAGAATATTACCGAGTCTTTTTAGGGACGGTGAACGGCACGAATCTCTAAAGATACAAACAATAAAGGTTGTTTTTTACAGCGTAACACTAAGGAAGCATAATGTAACTATATATTTATGGATGAAATTATATAATAAGCTGACAGTATAAAACGGTAGTGACATTGCCCATAACGCAGTCTTAGTCATAATATTAATAAATTTTTAATGGTAATGAGATGGATTCATTTAAATATCTCCCCCTCTGCTGCTTTCGTGACACTTAATGGCCCAACACTTTCTCGCGCCCCGTGACTCCTCCTTACGACACGGGCCCGGCCACTGGCCCCATTGCATTGAAGACGGGCAGTGAAGTAGTTCATGTTTCAGTCTCGGGTGCAAGACTTTTATGGCATATAAATGTAATTATTTTTAATTGTCAAGAAGGGGAGTTCGGGCATTGTTTTGGGTGTACTGAGTCAAAAGAAAAGACAGAAAATTGCTTACCCACTTCTTTTGTTGAGTTCTGTAACCACAAAAATATCCATGTGATTTATTTGGGTTGCATTTAAATTGAGTACTTCAAACTCATAGAAAAAGCTGTACGTGCAAAGATATTAAATAATATAAATACAAAAATAAATTAGTAGGTCATGCTACCAAAATATTTTACATAACACGAATGAAACCTCTTTGGTAAATATGCTTTCAACTTATTAAAAGACTTGTTGACACGAGTGAAATAAACTTGCCTTCCTTCTTCATGAAAAGCGCCACCAGGTCGGTTACTGTTGAAGACTACTTTTACATCGCCTGCGCCCTCTACACCAAACTTCAAAAAGTCAGAGAAACAAACATTCTTTGTTTATTTTTTGTATACATACACTTCTATCACATATTGTAAAATGTACAACCAGAAGGTCAATCCATATTTAATATCAAACTGTAAATAATGTAACAGTTAACAGACAAAGGTAGGTCTAATGTAATTCAATCTATAATGTTAGCAACAAAAGAGGTGGAAAAGGCATCGGCAGACCAGGATTACTAGGCAGCTACTCAATGTATATACTTTATCATTTAACTAACATACAAAAACACTTACATATGTTGATAGCCTTGACCAGAACGCGTCAACTGCGCCTTTACCAAAACCACATTCACCTTCAGCAGGGCAATTTCCAAACTCTAATCCGGTTGGATCTGTTTTGGATCCACAAAATGAAATGCCACTTCCCAAGTAACCAGGTAGTGTCGTTTCTAGGGTCACCAATCTTTTGCCTTTATTTGCATAATTTGTTACGATTTGATAAATATCCCATCCGTCCCAATACATTGCCTGGAATGCAATTAAATTAAAATATAGTGTATAGTTGAAAAATAAAAAAAAAAAGCAAAAAAACAAAAAAACAAAACAAAACTGCGAAATCATACCGTAAAACTTACAATAGAAACTCAATGCTCAAGTAACTCGTGCTTTAATAGTAGCCCACCATAAAAAATAATAGGCCTATATAATAATGATCCACTTCTCTAAAAAGAAACCCAGATTTACCATTGGAATGCTAAAACTTGATACACAATTATAGGCCATTTTCTGGGGTGGATCCAAAAATGTTCTGACGGGGAGGGGGGTGGGGAAATAGGTACAGTAGTCCACAACCATGTTTGGGGATTAGGTGAGAAAATTTAAGAATAGACCCCACTAGACGCTCGGAAATGGCACTCTTATGGTAAAAAATGGTCTTTCAAAGCGGTGTTCCTCATCGACAAAATTATTGACTCCGACGGGAGCTACGCTAGTCCCCTTCGTTTGGTAAACGTCATGTCGGAAGACGAAGAATTTAGAAAGACATTATATATATATATATAATAATAATCATCATCAAATAAAGGTAAATACAGTGTTAGAATAAAGGACATAACAATACATTGTGTAGCATAACTCTCAACTAATGTAGTCCTGTAAATAAATAAAGAAATTGTGCAATGAAATTCCCCTGGTGGGACTCGAACCTGCGATCTCTCGCTCGTCATAACCATTAGACCACGGATGCTTCGTGGTTGAACAGATTCAAATACCACCAGAGACATGCCCATTGCACAATAATTACGGCTAGAAACAAATAGTTGCATATATATAATATAAATCAGGATAGCCGTTAACACGATAGTGTTAACGGCTATTTGATTTATGTTACAGAGGGCATCTTTATTCCATAGCATTTTTTTGTTTAGCTACTGCCAAAGAGTTTAAGAAATAACTTTATTATGGAAACCGGTGCTAAAAAATGTTTTTGATTGATTGATGGATTGATTGATTAATTGATTGATTGGGTGGCTGATTTAATGATTGATTTAATTGGAATGCAGTCGGTTGTTTAATGTTTACAAGTAGCTGATGTACACACGTTTAATTGTTGTGTTAGATGACGACGGCGACGACGACGACGACGATGATGATGATAAAGATGATAATGATAAAGAGGATGATGATGACGATAATAATTATTATGATGACGGTGATGATGGCGACGATGATAATGACGATGATGATGCTGTCCAGTATAGCTGGCACAGTCGTACTTACCTTATTTCGAGGGATTGTAGTTTTAGATGCTTGCAAGAAATCTTCATAATGTTCCGAACTGACATTACACGGGTCTCGATGCGCAAAGGAATTAAAGAATTTTTCCCAGATTTTTGTACAGTTTTTTGATCTAAACGTAAATAATTAGGTGCGTTAGTGTACAATTAAATATAGTTTCTGTATAAGAATGTGTGGTCCACCAATATTATGTTATAAAATGTGCAATTAACAAAATTCAAAATAAAGAGGAAAGAAACCAAAACAGACAGAAAGAAGCTGCATGCGACCTCGTAGAAATATACAGTATTTCGATGGAAACGAGGACCTGCCGCGGATTCAAGGAGAAGACAGCCCCCACCCCCATCACGGTGGGGCTAACGTGATTCTGTGATTTCTCATGATTGGAGCCCAGAACCCTGATTTGGAAACCAAAACTTTTTAACTGCAAATGTTCATTTCGAATGTATTCCACTAGGCTACACTACATTTGATAGATATTATGTTGCCACTTAACAATGCAACTACCAACTACATCTCTACTGCACTCCACTATTTACACTACATTGGATATATCTGTCTCTTATACACATCTTATACTTTATCATTTAACTAACATACAAAAACAACCTGTCTCTTATACACATCTAGATGTGTATAAGAGACAGATATTAGGCCTACCATATGCAGAACCGAAACGCTTTTCCGGCGACTTTGACTTTTGCATAAATTTGGCACTCCTTAGGCTTAATTACTTGCACATAGCAAGTAGGCAAGTGGGAAAAGACTGTGACGTCACTCTAAGTCATTCAGAGTTCATGTCCACATTATTTAGAGTCAAAATTCTCTTCAATAATTTTTATAATGAATAGACCATAAAGCACCTCTTTCAATATTTCAATGTAGTATTTTGCTTTAAAGACTCTGGTAAAAGTAAATTAATAATTTGTGCTGAATTATTGCGTGTGGGCGTGGACCTGACGACAGTTAACGACTGTAGAGTATACCGCTTAACATTCCAAAACGACAGCACCGAAAACACAATATAAAACAAATATATAATTAATTATTATTTATCTATTTGTTTAAGTTGTGTTTACTAGTGCTACGCAATTAAACTAATTTGATTATTATTTACTATGATTTCTTGCTGCGACCTTAACCATTGCTCCACTATGTGTGAGCGTGTAATTCAGGTGCATGAATCAACGAGAGTGCGGATTAGATTTATACGGTTAGACCGTATAAATATGAATGGACTAACGGTGTGATACTTGTCTTGTAACGAGAGGCTGCATGTTCGAATCCCGCTGCAGATATTTTTTTTTTTATACAACTGAAAAGAAACTTTTCATTGAAGGGCTATGCTTGATACGATAATGATATATTATGGTTATATAGATATATGTATGTAGGTCTATATATATATATGGGAAACGAATAAAATAAATATAAATATTTTGTGTTCTACTGTCTATAACTAAGCGTTTTTACGTTATTTTTGTTTTATTATTTGAACACATGGACCCATATGAATTGCGATTCATTGTCAATGATCGATGGTGAATTTTGTCATTTCTACACTCCACTCTGTCAATATTTTATTTTATAGCAGGAGAAAAAAATATATTTCTTGGAGATACAGTATTGAATAAATATAATCACAAATAATGGGATATTATTATAAGCCCAACAAAATATTAGTAGCACGCCCTGTTTCTTCATGAACAAGTTTAAAACATCATAATGAGGCATAGGGGCTGAAAAATCGATAGATGATAAGTTAAAAAGACATACGATAAATAAATAAAGACCAATTGAGACAGGGTTTAATTCTGCCAGGTGCACGGAAAGAGGAATAAATATCGGGTCTTACATAAAAATAAAATTATAAAATAAAAATAAAATAAAATATAAAATAAATATAATAGGCTTATATGGAGGACTAACAGAATACTCAAACACCAAAATAAAATTTATCTCTCACCTTAATTCTTCGATGTCAGAGTCAGTGAACACCAGTCCATTCTGGTATTCAATACAACGTCCTACAATAATTTCACGAAGATTCGTCAAAGTTCCTTGCTTTGTAAACTTTTTCGCTTCTGAAATAGCGAGCCACGACGACATGAGAGTCGCGACGATCATTGTCAACGCCGTTACCTCCATTGTTATACACAGGCGCACGTTTTCGATCGAATAAACTATAGTTTTATGGTTTAATTCCTAGATATAAAATAACGTGCCTAAGGTGAAACGGAAGTCTTTTATTTAAGACTGAATACAAATCCGAAGTTTGGATTTTTGCAGATAAAAGATATTTTTTCTGCTTCGTCTACCCTATGGTTACACAGTTTATTTATCTATGACGCAGAAGTTTAAAAGTAAACTGTAATTCTACTAGAGGAGTATGATCAATGCCTGTGCGCGTACTGATTGAGACTTGTTGACGTAACATGGGAACGACCTTTATACATGTTCCAATTTGGCATGCTCAAAACAAATGTTTTATGTGTCTGTCTGCGATATACCTCTCAGTTGAGGATTTCGTGGAAGAAGTTCGTATGGTCGAGCTGAATGTGTGATCCAAGCTGTCTGCACGTGAATTCCCTAGATAAAGGCGTGCTTCCGAGTATTGCGCTCAAAGGAAAGATCGTCCTCCGCGTAGGGACGACTGCACTTAAAACTTACACTTTAACAGCAGCTGAAAACACTGACCACAACACACTATTTATATAATCGTCTTTACAAACATAATATTTGGTTTACACAAAACACAGAAGGAAATCAAATTATTTATAAATCACTATTTTATCAGTGGCGGATCATGATTTGTTTGGTGTGATCGATGGCAATCGAAAACCAAGGTAAGGAGGCGGGTGAAAATATATGGCCGATGGAGGAAAGCTCGGGGTATTAGTTTAATATTAATAATACCTTTATTCCTTTACCCATTTTGGGGATTCAGGGGGCTATTCCACCTGACGCTTCGGAGTTTAAATTCATGTTCATTATTTTTTAACTTAACTAATCACAGCTCCTCTTTCGCCGTTTGGACCCGCCACTGTGTATAATTGTATAGGTTGATGGTAGATGCTGGATACAAAGCTGAATTTACACTGAATCCGAATTTTCGGATCGGAAAGCCTAACGAACTGATGTTCAGAAAATCGGAACACTCCAGTGTGTAAGAATAGGGATGCTGACCTTCAGCGCATCGTCGAAACATCCAAATTTCGGTTCAGTATCCGACGTGAATCAACTTAAATCTTTTTAAAAAAAATTAAAAAACCCAGAACACATACTCCACTCATTAAATATATTTATCTAAATTGCTCTTTGTATTTAAATGCGTTGTTGGCTTGTAATTGGATTTCAAAACGAAATATGCTGCTCATCATTAAATAACCATACGCATTAATAATGCAGTAATTTTTTCAACATGTGTGTTGCAACAAGTTTTTAATAATAAATAAATGAAAATAATAATAATAATAATAAATAATCAGCAAAAATTGAATTGTTTTGATTCTTGTGTCAATTGAAGTTGGTGAATTATTTGATACTTTTAAGAGTGCAAATCAATTTACATTTTTGTGGTTCGTGGTTATCATATCTTTAATAATTATGTGTAGGACCAAAATAGGTAAAGCTAGTACATTAGCATGGAATGCCCGCAAACAGGAAGCGGTTAATTTATTATTTATTGATTGTTATTTCTTTAGCTGCATAACATGTGCCAAGGGTTGCCAATAGCGAATATACACTGTTCTACTTGTAGATACCAACCTTTATCACAAGACAAACTTACACACGGGATGCTTTACACAAATTTACACAAACTAAATTCCAATATGTCAACTATCCAGATAGATACCGGTAACGTATTCGTGGTTATGATTGGCTTTTATATGATTTAGTGACGTAACTTCCCAAATATATTAAAGACCTCCTGCGATCGGCGTCCGTTGGGGTGAACCACTTTGTATCGGACGGTATAAAATAGTAACATCATAGTGCTATTATTGTGCTGTTGTATCAACAAAACTATGCCGGTATCTTAAGCCCCGGATTGGAAAATTCTTTTTGACAAAAAACTGCTGTGTGCTATAGGCATGATGTGCTTCATTTCATTTAATTTAATTTCTTTAGGATATAAGTGAAATTAATCACTGTCCTACGTGGCAAATCAATTTAACAACAGGGGACTTAATGGACCATGTACACCGGGGGTAACACCCTACTCTTCTCGAAGGATGTAGGCCTACTGTGTTCTTTAAAGTGCACACGAGCCAAATGTATACACAGAGCCTACAGTTTAAAGTCCTTGTTTAAAGATTTGTTCCACCACCGAAACCATTGGCGAGTGAGCTGTTGGAACCAGCGCCGATTAGCTGAAGGTTATGGTGCCCCTGACATAACCGCTCGGCCAATAAAATCGCTTATAATTTATGGGTTTATCCAGACTATCAAATAAAATTTGATAGTCTGGATATCTTAAAGGCCTGGTTATACTATTACGATAACGGTCAATGATAAAAAGCTAAAAAGCAATTGTTCTTGTAAAAAATAAACGGAATAAGAAAAGTTTTTACACTTTCACGGTTCGATAACGACTTATCGTGTATATGATAAAAATAAATAATGTCACAAATCAAATAAAGTGACGTCATATTCATAGGAAAACGATAAAATCGTTTTTAATACTACGATTTTATCAATTGTAATTTAATCAGTTTAACTAAACATTTATTTTCTTAAATAGTGTAATTAGCAATGAGCATTCAGGCATATGACAACTGGCATGAATTTCATTTCACCCTGAGAAACACCAAGAAGAACGTACTTATATCTCCACCTATTTGGGGGAATACGTAAGTTGGGGGAATTTTGAAAAATAAAATATCTTGACCAATTCGTTTACCGTTTGATTGCTACGCCTGAAAATCAAATAATTCAAACAAAATTTTAATTATTTTTCCTCCAATATCGCGCGGTCCAAATTTTGAAACTCGGAGTCCGCTTTTGGACCGCGGCCCGGGAGTTGAGAAGGTGTTAGCCCGGGTGTTAGACATTCTGACTAATCTATATTTCCAGGCTCTAGTGAGCGAATATATCCATATACAATACTCTCCATCTGTTTTTGGTTCCGATATGCAGTGACGCCATAGATTACCGACGAGGAGTATAATACATCGGTCACACACTGCGCCTTGCCATGGAGAGTGACCTTCTGACGGACCGACGGTCGTCGGTCTATGCGATTCCGTGATGAAGGCAACGACGAGGCGCTCGTAACTGACCGTTTTTAACGGCAATCCTGGCAGTCTGTCATACATTACGGTGTCACATCGTCTGCCCCTGGAAAATAACATAGAGCTGCGTACCATCAGCATATGCCATACACTTCACATCATGTGAAGCAATAATGTCAAGCAGCGGAGCTGTAAATAGAATAAATAAAATTGGCCCAACAACCGAGCCTTGGGGGACACCAAATGTAAGTAAAGTGGGATTTGACATAACATCCTTGATAGCAACAGACTGAGACCTATTCTCTAGATATGATGCAAACCATTGGTGGGCTGTCAGTAGACTAGAATTGTGCATAGCCAAAGTTCGATCTTGGTGTCAGTCCAACAACCTTATAATGAATGATGCAAAAACTGAACTCATTCATTTTTCATCATGTTTTAAGCCTGCTCGCTGGACTCCTTTTATCAAAATAGGGGATGCATTCATTGAGCCTTCGCTGTCCTGTAGAAATCTTGGAGTTGTTATGGACTCTTCCCTTAGTATGTCTAATCAGGTACACAACATCTGTAAAGCCGGGCTTCAGTCAATTC